AGCAAGGTGTCTATCTCTTGGCTCAGAGCCTGAGCCTTTACCTGGTCATGAATCACCGTCATCCTGACTCGACCAGGGACAGGAGGGCGGCGGCGGAACTGAAGCATGTAACCCTGGGTAAGTATACACACCACCCATGGATTGGAAACAAGAGTGGCCCAGCAACCGAGCTGCTCCGGGGTAAAGTGTCCCGCCGCCGGCTCAGTGACGTCATCTCCGAGCTCCCCTGCCCTTCGGGGGGCGGGAGGGTTGCTGAGTTGCCCACCCGGGTTGAGGAGCGACATGAGCTCGACCTCTCTGTGGATTCCAGTGGCCATGGGCAGGCCTGGCAGCAGGCCCTGCAGCAAACCGTGGCTGCCCCAAGTAAGGTGTAGTCCGGCCAGGATAAGTATGTGACAGGGACACAGAGGCACTCCTAGCAGGACACTGCACTCGTCTGCGATGCAAACTGGCCAACTGCTGCCTGGTACGCGAGGCCTCGGCTGACCGCTCCAGGGCTGCAAGTGCAGCGGAGCCAAACAACTCCCCAGGAATAACTGGAAGGCCAATCAGGGTCCTTCTACATGCCTCCGTCAGAGGAGACTGAGCCAGCCAGACCTGGCGACATGCCTGAACAAGGGTAGACAGGACTCGTCCAACCTCACTCGACAGAAGAGCAAATGCATGGAGGGATGCATCCATCAGTCCATGCATCCATTGGGTAGGTGCATCGATCGCGACACCCTCCAAGGAAGCCAAGAGACCCAGTAGTAAATGCGACAGGGAATTCCCAAGTCGCCCCAAACGAGATCCTGAGTCATAGGCTCTACAGAGCAGGTCGTCAGTGACACGGCACTGAGGACGAGGACACCTGGCATTGGCCCTCAAAGCCTCATCCGGCGCCACAATGAGGGAAGCTATGGCCGGCTCAACAGAAGGCATATGGCCCAAGCCAAAACTGGGCGAATTTTGTATGGCCACCAGTGCCCTGCCATCAGAGGTCAGCCTCGAGAAGGCATTAGTGTCTGTCCAACAGGCATGGAGCTCCTTCACATACTCTGCAGACGGGGGAACCATAAAGGACGACCTAGTAGTAGGACGCCGAAAGAAAGCACTGGAAGCCGCAGGTTGGTCCTGTGGAGCATCCAGATGCAACCGGGCGAGGGCAGCTCTCAGAGCGCCCACTACAGAACCATCCTTCTCCGACTGAAAGCCAGAAGAGATATGTGAGCCGGCTTCTGAGAGGAGTGAGCCGGAGTCAAATTGATCCCGAAAATCAGTGCCAGACGCCGCCAGGGAAATGGCATCATCATCTAGAGCAGAGACTCTTGAACCAACGCTCTGTACTTGGTCAGGGTCTCCAGATATGCTAGCGCCATGCTCACCCCTAAGGGACTCAAGCAAGGCCTTCATCCCATCCAGGTCAGAAGCGAGCTGGACCACCTGCCCAGATATTCCCTCTGGAACCCTGGGGCTCCTCTTGCTCCTCTTCCGTGGAGGCCCCATAGCCTCAGAAGACACACGTTTCACAGGCTGGCTGGCACCTTGAAGGCCAGTCAAACGAGCATTACATATGGACAAAGGCAGGACAGAACAATTAGGGCATGCCGCATCAGTCAAGGCCTCTTCCAAATGATCCAGGCCCAAACAAGAGGGACACAAATCATGCCCATCCTCCAACTGGAGAGGGGTCAAACAAGCTCTACAGCACGGCGTGTCCAACATGTCACGCTCACAGGGCTAGGTCAGGTCAAGCTGAAATCGCCACTCTTGACACTCACCGAGCGGACAGATCGGGAGACCCGGTCGAGCAGAGAACGCCACCAGGGGTTCCCCAACAGCAAGGCTACAAGAGGACTAGCCAAGCACGTTAGTAAAAGTAAAAGCAAACCCGAAAACGGCTGCTACAGTAACAAAAGCAAGCCCGGAAGCGGCTGCCACAGTAAACAGAAAAGCAAGCCCGAAAGCGGCTGCTACAGTAAACAAAAAAGCAAGCCCGAAAGCGGCTGCTACAGAAAACAGAAAAAGCAAGCCCGAAAACGGCTGCTAAGCAAACAAAAAAAAGCAAGCCCGAAAGCGGCTGCTATAGCAAACAAAAAAGCAAGCCAGAAAAACGGCTGCTACAGTAAACAAAAAAGCAAGCCCGAAAACGGCTGTTACAGTAAATAAAAAGCAAGCCCGAAAACGGCTGCAACAGTAAACAAAAAGCAAGCCCGAAGACGGCTGCTACAGTAAACAGAAAGCAAGCCCGAAAACGGCTGCTACAGTAGTTAACAAGCTGGTCGGAGTCGGCTAACGCCGAGGCACCAGCAACAGGGAGTTGCAGTGAGAACGCGTCCCCGTTCGCCGTCGATAAGAGAAAAAAACTTATCAGACGAAGAAACGAAGTTGTATAATAATGAAGAGCTTGCGCAGCCTCTGGAGGGCGAGATGAGCCTCGCAGCTCCGACCAAAGTCTCGAGGCTACCAGCGACAAGCAACGGTGTCTTACCACCTGTTCAACCTGCATGCGAGAAGATGAAAAGGGACTGAGCTGTCGCTGTCACGTGACTATATAGGCACACCGGTGTCACCGGGGGTCACACGTGACTATGTTGGTATAAGATTCTTGACCTGTGCATGCGCAAGAGTGATCATTTGTGCTTTAAGCACCGCCTCTGGCAGTCAGTAGGGATGAAATAGA